TACTTAACCTTTGAATAAAAACAAAAGGATAGAGCTCTATCAGGACTTTAGGACTAACTGGTTAATTTTGCCTGTGCTTTCATGAATGTCATTATATATATTCTACTTCTTTGCTGGTTCACTGGTAGTGTACAGTATTGAAGCCACAATTGTTTAAACATGATTACATAACTGGGATACAGAAAGATGCAAATTGTGACATGGGCTGTAAACCTTCAAAGACTTGTGTAAGGCTACAGATTTATCAAGCAACTGTCCTTTTAGTCTTGAGGTGTCAGTGACATACATTCAACTTATCCAGAAGTTCATTCCATAGAAATAGAAGCTTTTTCTGAGAATGTTTAATTATATTTGCAACTGGGATGAGAAACTGTATACTAATATATGTAGTGTAACAAGACACCATTATCTTATTATCATACCTTTGCTAATCTGTGAAAATGTATTCAAATTTTGAATGTGTGGCTACAACTCAGTTCAGTTATCCTCTTCATATGATACCAGTATTTCTTTATTCCAGAGCTTTAGGTTGCAATTCTGTCCCTGAGGGTTTTTAAATCATTGATTTTATGTCCAGGGTGATTGAAATGTTCTGCCACTGTTTTTGCTTGTTTGCTTGTTTATAACCTTTGTAATGTCAGGTTTCTCTATTGATTCCCTTGGATGGACAGACTAATTGATTTAGAGATTTTACTCCTCAAAATTATTCTTGGAAAAGTCAGTATTTGTATGCAATCAGTATTGCCTTTTTCTAAAGTTAAAGCTGGAAATCTGGTTGTGTCTGTTGCAATGTGTTTTATTCAAAACTCTTAAATGATTTGTGGGGTGAAAATTTTGAGTGTCTTAGAATCAAGTCACTTTGAGTCTTTTCAAAATAAATTGGATTCTGCTGGGACTATTGCCAGTTTATCACAACTACCTATTCATCATCATCATCATCATCATCATCATCATCATCATCATCATCATCATGGATACCCTGCCTTTCCCCATTGGCACTCAAGGCATCTAACACTCCACACTAGACAGATTTTAAAAGTGCAACACAAAAGTTAAAAATCAATTAAATGGTAACATTGTGGTAAAAACAGAATTTAAATACATTAAATACACTAAAATTGCATTTAAAATTCATACCCCCAATCCCCCCTCCAAGCCTGTCTATATAGGAGAGGTGGGCTTTAAGTCAGTACTGCATTATCTGATGTTCTAGATTGTAATATTTTAAAGTTGTAATATTCCTTAATTAGTTGGTTAATAAATGAGTAGCAAGGTAGTTAAGATCAAACTCCTCATGTGCCTGGATTTTGAGGAAATTCCTTTTGACGTACTCACAACTGCTGGTTTGCAGTTTAGTCAGAAAATTATTAACAGGTAGCTTCAGGAATATGATATTAGTATAGACATTGAAGTAACTGCCATTTCTATATTATCTGACACTTTTTTTTTCTCCTAGAAAGGTAGCAGAGTGGAATATGTTTTTGAACTTTCTTCACCTCCCCAATGCAAGGTTTATGCAGCCACCACTTTCAAACTCTGAAATCCAATATCTTTTGCATTTAATTGCCATGAAATCTTCTTGGTTATTTTTCGTAGTTAACAATATGTGTCATTATACCAGTTTCAGAGTCTTCCATGCATTACAAACTCTTAATTTTGAACCACCAGTTCAAAAGATCTAGAAATAAGTGAACTTTGATTGGATCGTGTAATCCATTCCAAGCAGTGTTGCTTTCTGTAGTTGTGCTGTCATTATTTATTATTACTATTGTTATTATTACAGCTAATAATTACTTTAACTTATAATGTTATTACAAGAGGCTGATAAATTACAGATAGAGTAGGATAAGAGTGTGTTTGGCTGGTTATCAGACTATACGTCATGGCGTTTGTTGCTGCTTTGCATTTCAGTCATTAGTAGAGTGTTTCTTGTAATTGATGAAAAAAACCTGTTAATGGCTCCTAATATTGCTTGTGTTCCAATATTACTTGATGTGGTGGGTCCCTTGTGCTGCGGTTCTTCCAATATTCCAGCAGTCACATGGAGCGAGTGGGTGTGATTCCCTTTCTCACTATTCCTAAGCAGTATGAGGTTGTTTTTGCTCGAATTTTCTTTGTGTGTGTGTATCATATTTAATAATTGCACAGTTGCAAACTATACATAATTTGAAAGGTTGCTGTAAGTTTTTCAGGCTGTAATGCTATGTTCCAGTAACATTTTCTCCCGATGTTTCACTTTCATCTGTGGACAGCATCTTCAGAAGATGTCAGCCTCCGTAGATGTCAGCCACAGATGCAGGTGAAATGTCAGGAGAGAATACAAAATTAAAGAGAAACATGATACAGTACAGCAGTTTCCAGACTGTTATGCTTCCATTTGGTTCAACAAAACAATTGCTGTAAGACAAGAGGCTGATGTGATAAAACCCTTAATTATGCGGTAGCTCTGTATCAGTAATACAAACCCTCATATTACTTCTAGAGCCAGAGGAGAAAAGACTGGTTTTCACCTCCAAAAAGAATAAAATAACAACTCAACAGGGAATTTGAAAGCATGTGCAAGGGGTGGTAGTGGTTAGACTTGTCAAGGCAAAGGAGGGTGTTGGCAGTGGGAGCAGGACTGTTACTGCTATCAAGAGAATTGTATTTGAAGTAGTCAGAAGGCAACCAACAGCAACATTGCCCAGAAATGGCAGTCACTCAGTCTGAGATAGCACATAAAAGGTAGAATTTTATGGGATGGGAAAAGATTTCAGGATTGCTATCTGCATGCATTGGATGAGCAAGGGCAAATTGCAAAGGCATTAAAGAAGCCATAGGCTGCTCAAACAGAAGAGAAAGCACTGCCGTCATGCTGAGGACAGAGACAGAAGACTCCCAGAACTTAGGGAAAATTAATGCTAGAAAGTAAAAAATTAATGCTGAATACCCTGGCAGTTCTTATCTCCCTGAAGAAGTTTAGGGCAGCAACTATAAATATGGGTTGGAGGATGTATGGAAGAATGAGATAGAGGTTTTTTAATGCTAATCTATATAAGGCATCACTAAATTTTCCCTAAGTTCTTCATGGGGATTTGGGGGATTATGAAGGGAATTTCCACAATTTGGGTTGCTGGTAAAGGATCATCTCATCACTCCTTGCTTCATTGCTGTGTCACTGAATGTCATCAGTTGAAAAGTATCCTCTACTCATATTAGCTGTGATTTATTGTCATTACTATATGTATTTACTGGTCAAACCTTAACATGCTTAAACTTACTGATGCTATCTGCTTGCTGCCCTGGCTCAAGGAGTGAAAAGCATCTGAAGGTGGATGCTCTGCCTCTCTTCCTACCTCTCTGCTTACCTTCGCCAAGTGCTACTGCCTGTCTTCCTGCTTGTCTGATGTCCCGTTGCCTTTACTCTTCTTCTGTGAAGTTGATTCAGCTGTAGAGGTGAGGATCTTTCATCATTCCAGGAAGCAAAAGATGTCTGTCATCTTTGTGTTCTCTGTCACCACAAACAGCAGGTTGACTGTGCAAAGTAGATGCCATCTTGTGTCTCCAGGGTGTCTGAGTGGGATGGAGATGTAAATAGCCATGGTTGGTTACTGAACAGGAAGTTGTACAACTGCTTACACGGGCCTTATGCCACAATTTACTTTGGATTTTGGGGGGAAATCCAGAGCAACCCATAACCCAAATCCAGAGCAACCCATTAATTGTTGATGATGCTACTGTTTTTAACTGTCCCATATTCGTTTTGTGATCTTTTGCATTGAATTTTGCTGTTGTTAACTGCTTTGAGTCACCTGAGCGCTGAGAAAAGCGGTATATAAATGAGGTAAATAAATAAATAAACAAACTTTTGTTTATGTGGTTCAGGGCCATGTTAATCTGAATCAGCTCTGTGTATTGTGCAATCACCACAGAACTGATTTGTTCTCCTTCAGGATGCAGCATAAGTGAAGACGCACCTTAGGATTTACAAGACGAATTTACCGTATAGACCAAATTGGCAGTCTTTTGATTAAGATATAGTAAAATATTCATGCATTTACCAGAAAAGAAAAATGTGTTTAAGAAATAGAGTCTACATCTCTGCCGCATTAAATCATCTGGCTTTGTGTGTGTGTGAAATGTATTTATTTGTAATGTGATGCCTGAATGAATGTGCTCAAAATATCTAGGACTCTAGTGACAGATGAGTCTAACTTTACTATGAACAGAGTGGCCCCTAAGACAGAAATTAGTCAGTTGGGATTTAGTGCAGGTTTTTTAAATAAATAAATAAATAATGTATCTTGATAATTTGATTATTTCTAGGTAGTATTGCATAATAGCTGGAGTGTTAAGGTTTTGCTTTTTCAATTTGTTTTTAAGTTGTTTGCATATTTCTCAGAGAATCTGACATAGCAGCTGCCATTATTTGGAAGGCCCGATACCATATTTTTACTTATTGGCTTCAACTACTTCTTTCTTTCCTGAAAACTTGCTGTGGTGGATTATCAGACATTGACTTGCATCTGGCACTGGTCCATGAATTGCCACTTTGAGGATCCCTGCTTTACTTTACATTTTCTGTACTTCATTATATTAATTTCCTTAAAATTTAATACTAAGACAACTATTTTCCTTGGTTTGCTGGTTTGTGAGTTTGGACCCAGATTGTAGTTATGCCACATTGTGTTTGTTTCCATCACCATTTAGTCTGGATTCCTAGCCTCTATTGAAAATATCAGCAACAGCTCAATATGTGCCCACAGGTACTATTTTACACAGTTGTTTTGTGAGAAGTGACTTCATTGCTGCCTTTCAGTGTTTTAGCCAGAGTATGAATCATCATACAGAGTGGGAAATCAGTTGAGGAGTTATTTATTTCTCTGTGAAGCCATCATGTCATCCACATAGTTTGAAAACAGTCTATTCAGTATGAAAACTAAGCTACCAGATTTGTGGAACTTGAGTGTGAAAACACTAGTAAATTTGTGTGTAATACATTTTTGTTTGTTTCATTGCAGGAATCACTTATCTTGACCATGCAGGCACTGCAATTTTCCCACAAAGTTTATTGAAGGCCTTCACTGATGACATAAGTGAAAATGTTTATGGTAAGGAGAAATCAGGAGTGTAGGCTTTTTTCCCACACCAGGTTTATCCTTGAGTCCCAATTCAAGGTGCAGGTGCTTACCTACAAAGCCCTAAACGGTTTGGGACCCACCTACCTGCGTGACCGCATTTCTGTATATGAACCCACACGATCTCTTCGATCATCTGGAGAGGCCCTTCTCGCGATCCCTCCTGCATCGCAAGCGTGATTGGTGGGGACGAGGGACAGGGCCTTCTCGGTGGTGGCCCTCGACTCTGGAATTCACTCCCCAAGGACATCAGGCATGCCCCAACACTGGAAGTCTTTAGGAGGAGCTTGAAAACGTGGTTGCTCCAGTGTGCCTTCCCAGAATAAGGAAACTCCAAGCAATTTGTCCCGAATGCACTTTATTAGAGATCTAAGATTGTCTGCACGCCTCACCTATCTTCAAAATACCTATCCTATTTCACCTGGTCATGTCCAGCATTTTTTTAAACAATTTTAATTATTACACTTGGCCCTGCCATAGGTTCTTTTAATGCATCGTGGTGTTATTGTTAATGTTTACTGCATGTTTATGAGTTTATTTATTGTTGTTGTTGTTTTACTGATGTATTTGGGCTCAGCCTCTTGTAAGCCATACCGAGTCCTTCGGGAGATGGTAGCGGGGTACAAATAAAGGTTTATTATTATTAAAGCCTTTGACAATACATTTATTATTATTATTATTATTATTATTATTATTATTATTATTATTATTATTATTATGGTGATTGGCCAAGACTGTATGGGCCCATCTACTCACTGTTCTGTTAGTTGCACATGTAAATCTTACCCTGTCTTCTGAAGAATGTATAACAGATTTCTTCATTTGAGTATGCATTATATTGAGCATGGGAACAGAAGTTATGCTCCAAGACTTTGTAACCTCATTCTAGTCTATTTTTTTGAAAATGATAAATTATGGAGAGGATGAAAATTTGCTTTCTCCAAGGTTTGAATGTCAACACCTGGCAATAGGATAGCAAGATAAAATGTGGATTCTATTGTACACCTTTCTCCCTGTTTCACTATCTGAACTCCTGGAGGTAGTCTCAGGGGTGGTGTGAATCTCCTCCAAATGTATTGTATTAGGGAGGTTTTAACATCGATGCTGTGACATCTTTATCAGGACCAACTCAGGGTATCATGGCTTCTGTGGCAATCTTGGGCCTGTCTCAATTAATATTTGGTCCCATACATGTAGCAACAGTATTGATCTGGTTTTTGCTGGTCAAGGATTTGGAAGAATTCCGTTGTCATGCACAGATTACAATACTACTTGATATAGTTCAGCTTTGGTGGGATTCCTAACCTCTTCAAGGGTGGTGTGCCCATTTAAATGGTTGGTCTCCAACGACCATTTGATCTTCAATGAAAAGCGATCTTCAGTGAAAAGTGAGACAGGATGCTTTCACCATATGAAGAATGCACCAAGGTGGGAAGAAGAGAAGTAGGGGGTGGGCAGAATTCCACTATCTTCATTGTGTGATAGCTTCACTTTCATTCTTTGCTAGTTACAGAAATCATTCAGCAACCTGCTAAGACTTTCAGAGAACTGCAGTAAGGTGTAAAATGAATGCCATGCATATTGATTAAATAAACTACTGTATTTATTCAAATCTAGTGCTCACCTTTTTGGGCTAAATTACCTTCCCAAAATTTGGGTGTGCATTAGATGAGCGTAATATGGTAATCGTAGTGCTGAGCCAAATCAAATGGGGAAGCTGTTTCAGGAGCTTCCACTTTAACTTTAACTTTGGTGTTCTAATGGTTTTGTTTTTAAAGAAGGAATTATAAGCATGCAGCCACTGTAATTTGCACCTTTTTTGTTCAGATTACAAAGTGTGCTTTTTGCTGCTGCCCATTACATTTGCCAGCAAATACTTTTTTTAGTTTCAGGGTTTTGAAAATTGAGGTATGCATTAGATTCAATGGCATATTAGACTCGGGTAAATTCAGGTATTTTAGGGGATACTGCTTATCTTTTTAATGATTCACCGAGGGTTTTTTTGCTTCCTAGGTAATCCTCACAGCAAGAACATTAGCAGCAAGCTGACATATGACACAATTGAACACGTTCGATACAGGTACAGTGATCTTCACTTTACATACTGGCTGCTGTGCTACATCTGTCTATTTGGGTGTTTCTTTGTATCATAAACCTCTTTTTTATAACTATAGGCATATATACACTGATGGGGAAAAAAGTCCTTTTTCCACTCCATTTTCACAGTCCATATTGGCCTTTTAGTGACCTAGTTAATGCCACACACGTCATAAGTGGCCACACATTTCACCCTGGCAAATTCACCTCACTGTTAGGGGGCAGTCTGCATGTCCTTTACAGTTTTTTTGGTCTAATGGTTATGAACGCTCTGCTATTGTCATGATTATGCTGCATTATCAGACACACAGTCCAGAATGTAAATACCAAAAGTTTGTGGAAACACAGCCAAAGTCAATGCTCCAAAGTGTAAACAATAACTTATAAGGATAGTCCAAAACCATTGCCTAAATTCAGTTACCAGAGTCATGCTGAAGAATCATAGGATCATATCTGGAATAAAGAATAGCCAAGGTCCAAAAAAACTGGGATCATAGAATCACAGAATCAAAGAATTGGAAGAGACCTCATGGGCCATCCAGTCCAACCCCCTGCCAAGAAGCAGGAATATTGCATTCAAATCACCCCTGACAGATGGCCATCCAGCCTCTGTTTAAAAGCCTCCAAAGAAGGAGCCTCCACCACACTCTGGGGCAGAGAGTTCCACTGCTGAACGGCTCTCACAGTCGGGAAGTTCTTCCTCATGTTCAGATGGAATCTCCTTTCTTGTAGTTTGAAGCCATTGTTCCGCGTCCTAGTCTCCAGGGAAGCAGAAAACAAGCTTGCTCCCTCCTCCCTCTGACTTCCTCTCACATATTTATACATGGCTATCATATCTCCTCTCAGCCTTCTCTTCTTCAGGCTAAACATGCCTAGCTCTTTAAGCTGCTCCTCATAGGGCTTGTTCTCCAGACCCTTGATCATTTTAGTCGCCCTCCTCTGGACACATTCCAGCTTGTCAATATCTCTCTTGAATTGTGGTGCCCAGAATTGGACACAATATTCCAGGTGTGGTCTAACCAAAGCGGAATAGAGGGGTAGCATTACTTCCCTAGATCTAGACACTATGCTCCTATTGATGCAGGCCAAAATCCCATTGGCTTTTTTGCCGCACATCACATTGTTGGCTCATGTTTAACTTGTTGTCCACGAGGACTCCAAGATCTTTTTCACACGTACTGCTCTCGAGCCAGGCATTGTCCCCCATTCTGTATCTCTGCATTTTGTTTTTCCTGCCAAAGTGGAGTATCTTCCATTTGTCACTGTTGAACTTCATTTTGTTAGTTCTGGCCCATCTCTTTAATCTGTCAAGATCGTTTTGAATCCTGCTCCTGTCCTCTGCAGTATTGGCTATCTCTCCCAATTTGGTGTCGTCTGCAAACTTGATGATCCTGCCTTCTAGCCCTTCATCTAAGTCATTAATAAAGATGTTGAACAGGACCAGGCCCAGGACGGAACCCTGTGGCACTCCGCTCGTCATTTCTTTGCAAGATGAAGAGGAAGCATTGGTGAGCACCCTCTGGGTTCATCCATTTAACCAATTACAGATCCACCTCCCCGTAGTTTTGCGTAGCCCACATTGGACAAGTTTGTTTTCCAGAAGGTCATGGGGGACCTTGTCGAAGGCCTTACTGAAATCCAGGTATGCTACATCCACGGCATTCCCCGCATCTACCCAGCTTGTAACTCTATCGAAACAAGAGATCAGATTAGTCTGGCATGACTTGTTTTTGATAAATCCATGTTGACTATTAGCGATGACGCATTTGTTTCTAAGTGTTTGCAGACCACTTCCTTAACAATCTTTTCCAGAATCTTGCCTGGTATCAACGTGAGGCTGACCGGACGGTAATTGTTTGGTTCATCCTTTTTTTCCCTTTTTGGAGATTGGGACCACATTGGCCCTCCTCCAATCTGCTGGAATTTCTCCCGTTCTCCAAGAATTCTCAAAGATGATTGCCAATGGTTCCGAAATGACTTCCGCTAGTTCTTTCAATACTCTTGGGTATAGTTATTCTGGCCCTGGGGACTTGAACTCATCCAGGTATTCCTGGATGACTTGTTTCCCAATTTGGGGTTGGATGTCCTCTAATCCCTCATCCACTCCATCTTGCTGAGGTTGAAGATGACTTTCTTTTTGTGAGAAGACTGAGGCAAAGAAGGCATTTTTTCTGCCTAAGTGGAGTATCTTGCATTTGTCACTGTTGAACTTCATTTTGTTAGTTTTGGTCCATCTCTCTAATCTGTTAAGACTGTTTTGAATCCTGCTTCTGTCCTCTGCAGTATTGGCTATCCCTCCCAATTTGGTGTCGTCTGCAAACTTGATGCTCATGCCTTCTAGCCCTTCATCTAAGTCATTAATAAAGATGTTGAACAGGACCGGGAGTCCAAGAGTAGCAGAATATGGGTTGAGTCAGTGAACAACAATGTTGACTGCCACAACAAGCCTTCAGACTGAGCTGCTTTATTCTAACATCTGAACTGTTGCTTGTTGAGAGCTTGTTTCTCTGCTAATCTTGCAGATCTGCAAGATTCTGCACGTTCCCTTCAGCGTTCTAAAGCTGGAGTTTAATTCCTCTGGTTCTGTTGTATTTATCTCAGCTTGCTCAAACTCAACTTGCTCAAACTGCTGGGGAATATCGTCACTGTCATCACATTAAACTGGGGAAACTACTGGGAGCATATCTCTATCTCCCCTACCAGCCCTTCCAGCCACTCCTCATCCTCACTGTTGGAGCTGGCCATGATAGTTATTTTCTCTGGTCATGCAGTTGAATAAACTTATTTTCTCTGAAGTGTAAGTCTGCTAATATTAATATACTGATATGCAAGTGAACCAACACACATGAACCTTTTTAGAAATTACTATACATCCCCCCCCCCCCCCCCCCCCCCAATGAATCCCTCCCCTCAGCTACGCAGCAAAGTGCTGCTGCCTGGAGGGCCGGCTATATGCCTAAAAGTTTGGATTTTTTTGGTAAAACCTTGAGCTAAAAGGCAAGTTTTTTGAAACAATTTAAAGCCCAATGTAACACATTGCAAATGAATCATCGTGGAGGTTGTGTGCCAGGATTAGAGCACTTACAAGTACATTTTTTTAGTCTGTGTAGACAAGCCCTATATTGCACTTGATCTGTTCCTCATTTTAGGTCTAAACTTTAAAGTTCCAAGAACAATTTACTTCTTATTCAAATTGTCCCATTTGGCACTAGTTAAGATCAACCATCTTATCGTGATCTCAAATAGTTTCTTTCTTTCCCTCTTGTAAGTAAATCAGTTCCATTAATTTCAGTAGTACTTTGAAAGGAACCATTTTTACTCATGGAGCCAGAATTTATTGATAATGTTAGCAAAATGTGCCTTTTCTTAGAACATATTGCTGGTGTTGAGATTATTCAGACATTATTGAAACTCCTTGATTGTTATCAATGTCTCCTTCAGAACAATAGTGTGAAGCTAATAACACACATGACAATCTCCTTTGACCTTTAATGCACAGTAAGAAACATCTGATATGGTACCTCTTCAGTATCGATTTGTCCCTTTCAAAGGTCACTAAATGGAGACTGCTGTACAAATGGATGAAACAAGAGCACTTCACTGTGTTCAGTACATCTACTTAAAAGCATATCTGAAGTTTTGATGGCTCAATTACTCATACTTGCTTAGGAATCTCTTGTAATTCATGTAATTATCTTACTCTATGCAACCCACTATGCAGTAATAGGTAGGATTCATTCACGTGAAACAGTGCATGTATAGCTGCATATTTCTCATCCATACAAACATAAACAATGACAATATTCCCCAATAATTAATTTCTTTGTGTGTTTCACTAAAGTATAACCACTTAACAACTTTTGCAATAATCCACTGTCTGCATTTAATAATAATGTATGTGTTAACATCAATATAAAAAGTTAACAACCAAGTCTTTGAGACGGATCTCATAGTTCTTTCCACAGTGTTGGTGTTTTCTTTGGCCATCCTGAGTGGCTGTAATATTTAAAAAGAAATCAGTTCCTGACAAGAGCATCCCTTAAGCACCTGGTGACAAGGGAAACTGTGACCGAGAGAAAGGAAGGGTTAAATTGATATTCTTTCTTTTGGAAGCATACATTGCACTGCAGTTAACAGCTCTTAATAATGACTCAAATAACAATGTGGATGGTACAGTATTTTAAATGTTTTGTTTTTTTGCAAGCAGTGCTGGTGGACATTTCCCAGATAACTGATAATAGAATTTATTTATTTTTTCTCACCTGGATGGTTGCATTGCAACAAGGAAAAATGCACAAGTATAGTAATAGCTGTATTGTATTAATGTACTGTGGGCCTGCCATATCCATGGGCTCAGAATCCATGGATTTAGCCAACCACAAATTGAAACTACAGTCCTGACAAAACAAAATAATGCGTTTGTGAGACTGGAGAGGCTGCAGAGTGAATGTGAAGCTGCAGAAAGGCACAAGGCTGGAGAGAAATGTGAAAATCTGAAATGGTAGCAATTCAAGTGTAAAGTCTGGCATGAAACCATGCTTCTCACCATTGCACAGATCCTCACATCTTTGCAGCCTTGTGTGTCTCTTGCAACAGCTCTCTGGAAGGCAGTCCCAGGATGTGAGGGATCTCAAAGAATGATCCTTGGTAGTTTGAGACTTGCTGTGCATCTGCTGTTTCCCTGTGCCATTTTATTAATAGGATTCTAGCATCCATATTTTTTTGCTATCCATGGGGGTCCTGAAACTGATCTTCCCTCTGAGCATATCTTACCAAGAAAGCCTTTGAAAGTTGTGTTTTGCCTTTCTCTTAGAGTGAGAGGGTATAACTTGCTCGAGATCACCTAGTAAATATCCATGGCTGACTGAGGATTCTGATCTCCAGAATCGTGGTCCAGCATCCAAAACACTATGCAACACTATCATATATACTACGCAAATCAGTATTAAGATATATGGCAAATAAATTAATGAAAGCTAGATT